ATTGCCTTAACTCCAGCAAATGTGGAGGGCTGACTGTATGCATAAAGTTACCTAACATGTCCCATGATAGATAATTCTAGACACGATCAATTGAGTAATCTGCTGTGTTCAGGTGGAAAAATCAAATGTCAAATTTATTTTATTTTATTTTCCAAAAAATCAAATATTTATATATTTTTATTTTTAAAATCCTGAAGCAGTTCACAATAAAACTAGGTACAATGAGACAATGACCAGTAGAATAAAATAGTATCCTGGGGAGATAGGGTGGAATACAAATAAAGTATTATTATTATTTGATGGACAACAAGATGAGTACACAGCAAACAAGATCACTATGCTGGCTGTTGTATTGGATCACATGTCGGACGCTTCCCAAATGCCTAGGACTATGTGATGTATCGGCGAATAATGCGTTCAGATCCCAGTAAGGTGGCCTTCTGCAGCTGACAGATGGTAATTTTGTTAGCGCCGATTGTGTTTAAGTGCAGGCCAAGGCCTTTAGGCACTTCACCCAGTGTGCCAGTCACCACTGGGACCACCTGGACTGGCTTGTGCCATAGTCTTTGCATTATTATTATTATTAGTAGTAGTAGTAGTAGTAGTAGTAGTAGAAGTAGTAGTAGTAGTAGTAGCAGCAGCAGTACTGTAACACAGTGAAAAACATCGAAATATTTTAAAACTTCAATTAGAAACCAGGAATAACAGTTAGGATGAAGCAACTTTGGACACAGCATATTATTTGAGAACACAAAAATGCTGGACCACTCCAACAACCACTATGTCAAACAACACAGAGACAAGTATGTGGGAAACCATGAAAATGTACAAAATCTGGCTGCCAATATTTAAAAATACTCTAAAATCATAACAGTAAATAAAGAACAACACTCAAAAACAGGGGAATTCCAGACAAGACACAATCAGAATCAGCTAATCACCTCCCAACAAAGGATTCCCCCAGGCAGTAAGAAGCCATACCTTGAAATTGCTAGGCCATTAAATGCTAATCAATGTGTCCAATTGAAACATTCAGACCTAGCTCAAACCGACAAGAGTTCCTTCTCCCATCCTGATATATAAACCCCATTTTCCTAGTTTCCAGCAAACCTCACAACCTCTGAGGGTGCTTGCCACAGATGCAGGAGAGAATGCTTCAAGAATATGGCCATACAATCTGGAAAACTCACAACAGCAAGATAACAGATAGATTGGGGAAAATAATAGGAATATGTCTGGGCAAAAAAAACAAACAAACAGGTCTTTGGTTGGCAATGCAAATTTCAGTGGGGAGTACATTTCATTTGATTTTAAGCCATGTAACAAATGTCAAAATGGTAAAAATGCAAACTGAGGGTGAGACTGTTAAAATGGTATAAAATGGAGACAGTTAAACTGGTTTAAAACGTCTGTAACTACTCCCTCCAAGTCCAAAGAACTGTCACTTTGGTTGATTTTTTTTACTATTTTTCTTTTACAATCATATTATGCTAAAGCCTTCCCAAAGCCTTCCATCACGCTTGTTTCCTCCGATGTTTGACCTTTCCTACAAAACAACAGTCAGTCAATCAAGTTCGGCCACAGTGGAGAGAAGCAATAATTTCCTAGCCTGGCACCGGGCTAATCAGTGCCAAAAAAGGAGAAACCCTTCTTCCTCTGGAGCTATTTTTTTCCCTGATTCTCTCCCTGTGAAGAAGAATGCATTAAAAGGCTACTCCGCTTGCTCCAACACTGCTCAGCTTGTAGTAGTCTGTGTCACATCCCAGCATGCCTATTAGCTGAGCTTGTACAATACTTTTCTTAAAATCCCTGTTGTTATTTTTCCCCGTTTTGTTGCTTTTCACTCTCACATCTGTCAAACTATGTAAATTGACAAAGCTGCATTAGAATTGGTAAATATGTATGGAAGCAAGCAAATGGCACTTAAACGTTCCTGATCTATCAGGTTTGCAGCAGCTGTCATGGATCGTGGCTAATACATTTTTTTTGCCACAAAATATTTTGGCTCGTATGCAAGTTTTAAATGGGCCACGTAATTCAAAGCATCTTTTTACAGGTATCTTACCATTGATAAAAAGGTGAGTTTAAAACAAAATACAATTTATTGTCGAAGGCTATCATGGCCAGAATCACTGGGTTGTTGTAGGTTTTTTCGGGCTATATGGCCATGGTCTAGAGGCATTCTCTCCTGACGTTTCGCCTGCATCTATGGCAAGCATCCTCAGAAGTAGTGAGGTCTGTTGGAACTAGGAAAAAGGGTTTATATATCTGTGGAATGACCAGGGTGAGACAAAGGACTCTTGTCTGCTGGAGCTAGGTGTGAATGTTTCAACTGACCACCTTGATTAGCATACAATGGCCTGACTATGTGGCCTGAGCAAACTTTTGTTGAGAGGTGATTAGATGTCCTTGTTTGTTTCCTCTCTGTTGTTGTGCTGTTGTAATTTTAGAGTTTTTTAATACTGGTAGCCAGATTTTGTTCATTTTCATGGTTTCCTCCTTTCTGTTGAAATTGTCCACATGCTTGTGGATTTCAATGGCTTCTCTGTGTAGTCTGACATGGTGGTTGTGAGAGTGGTCCAGCATTTCTGTGTTCTCAAATAAAATGCTGTGTCCAGGTTGGTTCATCAGGTGCTCTGCTATGGCTGATTTCTCTGGTTGAAGTAGTCTGCAGTGCCTATTATTTATACACAGCATTTTATTTGAGAGGTGGTCAGTTGAAATATTCACACCCAGCTCCAGCAGACAAGAGTCCTTTCTCCCACCCTGGTCATTCCACAGATATATAAATCCTTTTTCCTAGTTCCAACAGACCTCACTACCTCTGAGGATGCTTGCCATAGATGCAGGCGAAACGTCAGGAGAGAATGCCTCTAGACCATGGCCATATAGCCCAAAAAAACCTACAACAACCCAAAATACAATTTAATGGAATTTTAGACATAATTTAAAAATTATATTAAAACGTAAATTTTAAAGCATTTTAAAGGAATTTGAAATATAATGCTGAAAGTAGAAATACAAATACTTTAATTAAATATATAAGTATAATCTAAAAACTTTAATTATAGTTTTTAAAAGAAATATAATTATATCTTGGAGCATCAATACTCTAAAGCAGTGGTTCCCAACCTGTGGTCCGTGGACCACAAGTGGTCCGCAAGAATGAAAATATGGTCCGCGACCTCACCATTACTGCACCGTTGCAACAAGAGTGACTGGTCTCACAAAACACTCTTATAGTACTGAGGCTTATTGAATATGGTTTTCTGTGGGCAAGCAGATGGTGACTACTGGATGGCATATGTTCTGTATCAGAAACTAGAGCTGATGTGTTATATCCAATGCAATTTTCTGTATTGGCACCCCAAATCACCAAACCGAATCTAAAGTTGACCAAAAACTGATTCGTAACCCTTTTGGTACTAATGTTGGAAAGTGGTCCCTGCTCAAAGTGGTCTCTGGTCAAAAAAAGGTTGGGAACCAATACTCTAAAGCAGTGTTTCTCAACCTTCCTAATGCTGTGACCCCTTAATACAGTTCCTCATGTTGTGGTGACCCCCAAACATAAAATTATTTTCGTTGCTACTCCATAACTGTAATTTTGCTACTGTTATGAATCATAATGTAAATACCTGATATGCAGAATGTATTTTAATTGATTGGACCAAATTTGGAACAAATACCCGATACGCCCAAATTTGAATACTAGTGGGGTTGGGGGGAGGGATTGATTTTGTCATTTGGGAGTTGTAGTTGCTGGGATTTATAGTTCACCTACAATCAATGAGTATTCTGAACTCCACCAATGATGGAATTGAGCTAAACTTGGCACACAGAACTCTCATGACCAACAGAAAATACTGGAAGGGTTTGGTGGGCACTGACCATCAGTTTTGGAGTTGTAGTTCACCTACACCCAGAGAGTACTGTGGACTCAAACAATGATGGATCTGGACCATCATTGTTTGATGGTCCAGTATGCCCAAATGTGAACTCAGTATGCCCAAATGTGAACACTGGTGGAGTTTGTGGGAAATAACCTTGACAATCAAAGAGCATTCTGAACTCCACCAATGATAGAATTGGGCCAAACTTCCCACACAAAACCCTCATGAGTATCAGAAAATACAGGTTGAGAAACGCTGCTCTAACGGCATCAGATCTCATTTGATCTTGTGAGTAATACTAGGCGCCATTGTCTGTACTTCTAGAAAGAAAATGGCAGATCCACTTTTCAGTATTCTGCCTAAGAAAACCTTATGGAGTTCATCGGGTCAACAAACATAATTCAATAGATGACTTGAAGGCATACACAAACACATATTATTTTTTAGTAACATTAGCCAGTAGTCTGTATGATCTACTTGGTAAAATATGCCTTACTAAATAACCTCAATTTTGTTGATGTTGTTGTTGTTGTGTCTGTTCCGATTTTCGCTCACTCTATTAATGAGGGATATAAAAAAACCTGTTATATCTTGCAGATTGTGGTTTCCTTGATTTTCCCTCTTTTCCTACTCCAGATTTTCCCATTCTTCTTGTATGTACTAATGAGACTTAGTGTCTCATGATATGTCCAAAGTATGATAACCTCAATATAGCCATTTTAGTTTCTAATGAGAATTTGGGTTTGGTTGTTTGTCTTTTTATTAACACAAATCCTGAATAATAAGCCACAACTTAGGTAAACCTCATTGACTAAATGGAACTAGCAATTAGTTTTAAGTCGAAGAATTATAATCATATGGAACTCATTTTTCAAAATGCAGACCGCTGCAAATTGATATTTAGCTTCCATGAACAATGCTATAAATTGTTTATTCTTAGTTGCATGTATTTTCTGTGGGTGTATAAAAATAGTACCTAGCCATGCCATTATTTGAAAAACAAGATCAGATATCATCAGCTCATAAACAGCAACTCTGGTGGGATATTTGCAGCTTGAGTAACATGTAGTTTAATAGCACTTCTTTCTCCGTGGTTATGGTATTTTGCAGGCCCTCCAAGAAGAGATCAAAATTTCCGGCAGTAAAATCAAGTTGAGTTACCTGAGCAGCCGTACGGCCGGTTATAGATCAGTCTTAAGGATCAGCCTAACCCATCCCACCATCCCGTTCAACCTGATGAAGGTCCACCTCATGGTTGCTGTTGAAGGACGTCTTTTCAGAAAATGGTTTGCTGCAGCTCCAGACCTCTCCTACTACTTTGTGTGGGACAAGACTGATGTCTACAATCAGAAGGTGTATGGATTGTCTGAAGTCTTTGGTAAGCAGTGTTTTTCAGGCTACCTGATGTAGGGGAAACAGTAATAGATTTTTTTCCCAGTGCGCCAAGGACTAGCACTGTAATTGTGCCCTTTGGCCTCAATTGTTTCCTGATAACTTGCCTGGAATTGACAGCCAATGGCTTTCAGACTGGTTTTGGGGGAGGGGGGTCCCACTTTGAGTAGTACTGGTCTAAAGGAAGATGACCCTATTTACATTGACCACTTAAATTGTGGTACATATGGATCAGTGCAGTATCAGGCAAACACTGCTGTGTAGCAGCAGATTTTACCCAGCGTCCAAAGTCCAAATGCAAAAAGACTCACAGACCAGAGTAAAAATGAACAGAAAAATCTTTATTGAGCAGAGATGAAACATAAACATGCAATGTTGCATACAACAATCAAACAGTACATGAAACTTACATAGTCTTTGTAAGTAAGGCATCTTCATCTTACATCAAATGAGAGAGCAAAAAATAAATGTTGAGTAAATAGCTATTCCACCATAGCCTCCTTCAGAGTAGCTTCTCCATGCTGCTCCCCAGAGCAAAGCCTTTGAGCATAGATCTCCTCGGAGATCTCCACCATCCACACCCACCCTGTATTCTAAAAAAAAAAAAAAACCCATACAGATATACCCCATTGGGTATGGTCCAAGCTTGCTGGTTGACCTACATTCCCAGCTGTACATGATAATCAACACCATAAGGTTTTTCTTCAATACATGCCCATACAGTCCTGCTATGACTTACCGCAACAAACACCAAATGAGGCAGACATCAACGGATATGTAGGACCCATGCCACAACTAGACAGGAAGGTGGGGGACACAGGGTGGTTTGAGGAGTCCCTGTTTGGACCATACCCACATCTAATATCGCATTCAGCATGCTAGATCACCCATCAGATACGTTCCTTGTAGATCTGCCTCATATCCTCTAACATGAGTTTTCCTGCCTGTTCAAGATGACTGAGAAGGGCCTTTTTTTGCATGTCTAGTCGTCATCTTGAATACTTTGGGCAGGTTAACTCAGATATTATTGGCCATTTATCAGGGTTGTTCTAAGCTATGGATTTCTGCATCAAGAGGAGTTTGGATTAACCACCTTTGGAGTACAGTATATCCCCTTAATGGCGTGTTCTAGGACTTCACATGGGTATGCAAAACCCAGTGGCACAGCGGGCTAAACCACTGAGCTGCCGAACTTGCTGACCAAAAGGTCTGCAGTTCGAATCCGGGGAGTGAGGTGAGCTCCCACTGTTAGGCCCAGATTCTGCCAATTTAGCAGTCCGAAAATATGCAAATGTGAGTAGATCAATAGGTACTACTTCGGCGGGAAGGTAATGGCTCTCCATGCAGTCATTCTGGCCACATGACCTTGGAGGCATCTACGGACAATGCCGACACTTCTGCTTAGACGCCAATGGTGTTGTTTTTATTGCTGTTGTGGTTTATGTAATTGTAATGTTTTTAAATTGTTTTATAATACTGTGTATACTATTTTGTTGGAATCCGCCTTGAGTCGCCGATAGGCTGAGAAAGGCGGTATATAAGTACAGTAACTAAACAAACAAACAAATAAATAAATAAATAGAAAGGGAGATGAGCATCACTCTCCCCCCCCCCCCCCCCCCCGAGTTGGACATGACTAGACTTAATGTTAAGGGGAAAACTTAACCTTTACTTTATGGCCCTGTTGCATAAGCCAATCATATCAGTAGAAGCATGCCACAGGATCTAGGAAATGCCTAGAGATGACCCCTCTCTAAGCATAATTAAATCCTCCAGCATGAGTAGATCAGTAGGTACAATTTTGGCGGGAAGGTAATGCCTCTCCTTGCACTAACTTTGGCCACATGACCTTGGAGGCATCTATGGACAATGCCGGCTCTTCTGCTTAGAAAAGGAGATAAGCATCTCCACTCCCCCCCCCCCCCCAAGTCAGACATGACTAGACTTAATGTCAAAGGAAAATTTTACCTTTACTTTATGCAAAACCAGGGTAATAGTGAACCCTGTTGCATATGCCAATTTATTTATTTGTCGTGTCAGGGCAAACAGTCAATTGTATTAAATTTCTAACAAAACAAAACAAACAAACAGACAAACACAAAATTTGCAAGTTTGGTAGTTGATTAAATGTCCTTTGACCAGTATCTGGCCACTTGGAGTGCTTCTGGTGTTGCTGCAAGAAGGTCCTCCATTGTGCATGTGGCAGGGCTCAGGGTGCATTGCAGCAGGTGGTCAGTGGTTTGCTCTTCTCCACACTCGCATGTCATGGATTCCACTTTGTAGCCCCATTTCTTAAGGTTGGCTCTGCATCTTGTGGTGCCAGAGCGCAGTCTGTTCAGCGCCTTCCAAGTCGCTCAGTCTTCTGTGTGCCCAGGGGGGAGTCTCTCATTTGGTATCAGCCATTGGTTGAGGTTCTGGGTTTGAGCCTGCCACTTTTGGACTCTCGCTTGCTGAGGTGTTCCAGCGAGTGTCTCTGTAGATCTTAGAAACTATTTCTAGATTTAAGTCGTTGACGTGCTGGCTGATACCCAAACAGGGGATGAGCTGGAGATGTCTCTGCCTTGGTCCTTTCACTATTGGCTGCTACTTCCCGGCGGATGTCAGGTGGTGCAATACCAGCTAAGCAGTGTAATTTCTCCAGTGGTGTAGGGCGCAGACACCCCGTGATAATGTGGCATGCCTCATTAAGAGCCACATCCACTGTTTTAGTGTGGTGAGATGTGTTCCACACTGGGCGTGCGTACTCAGCAGCAGAGTAGCATAGCGCAAGGGCAGATGTCTTCACTGTGTCTGGTTGTGATCCCCAGGTTGTGCCAGTCAGCTTTCATATAATATTGCTTCTAGCATCCACTTTTTGCTTGCTGTTCAGGCAGTGCTTCTTGTAGGTAAGAGCATGGTCCAGAGTGACTCCCAGGTGTTTGGGTGCGTTGCAATGCTCCAGTGGGATTCAGTAGAAAAACACCATGGATTGACACTACAGGACCCTAGGATATGCCTAGAGATGACCCTTCTCTAGGCATCATTAAATCCTCCAACATGAGTATACAGTCAACTCCCGGCTGAATCATACCGTTGAAACACCTAAAGGTATATGAAATGATAGAAAATGCCTTGAGGTACAGGAAACACACTGTTTAAGGAATGGATATATTCAAGAATTTTTTAAATATTCAATAATTGGTCAAAGAAATTGGTTCTCAAGTGTCAGGAAGCTCTTGCGTTCATGAAAGTCTTCCCAGTTCAGGACCTTGTCTCCAACACTCCTCAAAAAGTGCAGTTTTCAAAACCTTTTGCAGCAGGAAGGCAGTTGCTAAATTGCTCGTTGCTTCCTGAAAGAATAAAACCAGTGAAGAATTACATCCTTAATTTGGACCTGCCCCTTTCTGTCCTGCTTCAGTGGACCTCTCTGGCCAGGAAAAGAAAAATTGCATCAGGGAGCAAAATGCAAAGTGAAAGACCTTGAACATTCCAGGGCTAATAAACATGTCCCTGATCCAGCAATTTTTAAATAATTAGCACATTTGTTCAACATCTATTACCGCACTGACCTTTTTTTAAATGCACAGTAGCCTTTAAAGAGGAAGGCTCTGTATGGACGTGAGAGTGTTTCAAATAAGGATCGGTTCTGGCCTGCAGAAATGCCCTTCTGCCCAAACTAGGCACCCAATTATCAGTCCCCGCTTGTGCTGAGTGCGCACTTCTGGTGTGATTAAGTTGCCGTTTTCTTTTCTCTTCTTTCCCATTTGCGCTTCCCGTTACTCCCAGTTTCAGTGGGCTACGAATACGAATCCTGTCCTGACTTGATCCTGTGGGAGAAGCGGACTGCGGTGCTTCAAGGTTACGAAATCGACGCGTCCAAACTTGGAGGGTGGTCTTTGGACAAGCACCACGCTCTCAACATCCAGAGTGGTGCGTCAGCTTTCTGTAACGGCTTCTTCCCACTTTCTCTTTCCTCCTGGTTTGTAATAGCAAAAAATAGAGCGAGTCTGACACAGTTGCACAATGCATAGGAGCTCTTCCGCCATTAATAATTCAACCCAAATGGGAGGGGAAAGCACACCCGTGCACGTCGATTGCTAACAAATTATTTATTGTAACCTACATATTGTGCCAACATTTTTTTAAAAAATGTGAATCTACAAAGCTGGAGATAAATCGCCCACTCAGAATCTATTGCAAGCATTTATTTTTGGCAGAGCTTGTTCTCAATACTGCCATCTTTGAATGGCTTTGGAAGCTCAGGTATACCTCACTTAGCAAAGTACCATGTGTATCCATCTATATGACCCCATCTACTCTGCTGGTGGCGCAGTGGGTTAAACCCCTGTACCGGCAGGACTGAAGACCGACAGGTCGCAGGTTCAAATCCAGGGAAAGGCGGATGAGCTCCCTCTATCAGCTCCAGCTCCTTATGCGGGGACATGAGAGAAGCCTCCCACAAGGATGATAAAAACATCAAAATCATCCAGGCGTCTCCTGGGCAACGTCCTTGCAGACGGCCAATTCTCTTACACCAGAAGCGACTTGCAGTTTCTCAAGTCACTCCTGATACGACAAAAAAAATATCTACTCTGCTATGTAATGCAATTTGAAAATGCATCATATGGCCAGTGTAAACTCATATAATTCAGTTCAGGGCCATTAAACTGCATTTATTTATTTATTTATTTATTTATTATGTATTTAAAACATTTGTATTCCGCCCTTCTCACCCCAAAGGGGACTAAGGCCAGAGCACAGCATATATACGGCAAACATTCAATGCCGGGACAATAATTCATATATGCATACATAAAAATTAAAAACATTTGTCTCAATATTAAAATACACCATTTGAAACCGTCTTGGTCATCTGCATTATATGGATCTACACTGCATGTAGATTGTATGGCAGTGTATATGGTGCCTAAGTGGCGCAGCTAGTCAGTAGCCAGCTGCTTTAAATCATTACTGACCGAGAGGTCATGAGTTCAAAGCCAGCCCGGGTCAGAGTAAGCTCTTGACCACTAATAGTCTAGCTTGCTGTCGACCTATACAGTCCAAAAGATAGTTGCATCTGTAAAGTTGGAAATTTAGGTACCACTTTATGTGGGGAGGCTAATTTATCTAATTTACAACACCATAAAACCTTCCAGCAGCATACGTAAGAATGAGGAAGTGCTCCATCAAGGACATGGTGTCGCAAGTGGATGGTGAAACAGCAGCTCCCCCTGTGGCTGGAATTGAGCATATTCTCCTGAAGCCAGAAAAGCTGGAATGTTAAATTGCCTCTGTGTCTGTCTATAAATGTTGTATGTCTAAATGGCATTGAATATTTGCCATGTATATGTGCATTGGAATATAAATACTATAAATAAATGAATGAATGAATGAATGAACTGATGGTAGGTTTTGGGCCAAAATGAATGAATCATAGACAAGTAGAGAGTTATTCCCAACCAGGTATTCAAAAAGGTTCTACTTAGAAAAGACAATGGTTCCTCTTTTGATGAAACTTATAGTACAGCAACATAACTTTTGATACTGCTATTTTTATAGCCCTTGATCCTTCTAGACTACCCAAAGATTGTCTATCTTCTATATCTCATCATTTGGCCAAGACTTGCTCTTTCGATAGTGCTGTCTATTGATTTCTAGCAATCCCTTATGACAAGGCACAAACTTTTTTTTAAGTTTAGTTCAGACTTTTTATTTATTCTCCTTTTCTTGCTTTCCAGGCATCTTGCATAAAGGGAATGGGGAAAACCAGTTCATCTCTCAGCAGCCGCCGGTCATAGGGAGCATCATGGGAAACGGACGGAGAAGAAGCATCTCCTGCCCGAGTTGCAATGGCCTTGCGGACGGCAACAAGCTCTTGGCTCCTGTCGCCCTGACCTGTGGATCGGATGGAAGCATTTACGTCGGAGACTTCAACTACATCAGAAGAATCTTCCCTTCTGGAAATGTCACCAACATACTGGAATTAAGGTGTGCCAGGCTGCTCTGTGAAATCTAAGACTTTTTAAAACTACACTACACCCTAGTACTTAAAGGAGTGTCCCCCTTTCTTTCTCTCTCTCTCTCTCTCTCTCTCTCTTTCTCTCTCTCTGTGTCTGTGTGTGTGTTACACACACACACACACACACATATATGGAGCCCCCGGTGGCACAGTGGGTTAAACCGCTGAGCTGTCGAATTTGCTGACCAAAAAGTTGGTGGTTTGAATCCTAGTAGTGAGGTGAGCTCCCACTGTTAGCCCCAGCTTCTGCCAACCTAGCAATTTGAAAACATGCAAATGTGAGTAGATCAATAGATACTGCTCCGGCGGAAAGGTAACACAGTGCTCCATGCAGTCATGCCAGCCACATGACCTTGGAGGTGTCTATGGACAACGCCGGCTCCTCAGCTTAGAAATGGAGATGAGCACTACACCCCAGAGTCGGTTACGACTGGACTTAATGTCAGGGGAAAACCTTTATCTTTACCTTTATCTTATGGGACCATAGGTTAAATTTCTCACAGATTTAGATTTCTAACAGATTTTATTTTTGTTGGAATTCAGTGTTTTCTTCTAGATTCTAGCATGTTTGCGAGATACACAGAAAGACAATCATACACAAGCATGTGGACAATTTCAACAGAAAGGGAAACCATGAAAATGAACAAAATCTGGCTACCAGTATTTAAAAAAACTCTAAAATTACAACAGCAAAACAACAGAGAGGAAACAATCTGGGACATCTAATCACCTCTCAACAAAGGATTGCCCCAGGCACTGCCAGGCCATCAAATGCTAATCAAGGTGGTCAGTTGAAACATTCACACCTAGCTCCAGCAGACAAGAGTCCTTTGTCCCACCCTGGTCATTCCAACCCTTTTTCCTAGTTCCAACAGACCTCACTACCTCTGAGGATGCTTGCCATAGATGCAGGCGAAACGTCAGGAGAAAATGCCTCTAGAACATGGCCATATAGCCTGGAAAAACCTACAACAACCCAGTGATTCCGGCCATGAAAGCCTTCGACAAAACAATAATTTAAAAGTACAGAATATAAATAATCTATCAATTAAAAACCAGACAATTTGAAACTGCTTAAAAGAATTTAAGATTATGAAACCAGTCTGAATGTGTAGCCTGTGCAAAATCAGTTAGACCCAGTTAGAAAAATCATGAGTTTTGATGTATTGCTGAAATGATATTACAACCAGTCCTCCACATTCACCACAGTCAAAAACCCTGCTGCTTGTTCCCTGGGAAGACACCTCTATGAATTTTTGGGTCTTCTAGTGTGACTCTTTGGCAAACATATGCTGCAAGTTGCCCTTACGATTGCACTGGATGATCTACTAATGCTTAGAAAAGTATTAATGCTAGGGATGTCTAGATTCTTCCCCACAACTCGATTGACAACTTCAGCAGAAGTTTGTTGCAGAGTTGCACCAGAAGACCTAGAAATGTCTTGAAAGAATCTCACAACCTCTGAGGATGCCTGCCCTAGATGTGGGCGAAATGTCAGGAGAGAATGCTTCTGGAACATGGCCATACAGCCTGGAAAACTAGTTATTCCAGCCATGAGAGCTTTCAACAACATCTTGAAAGAACACATTAATAAATGCCACGGACAATAAAATCTGCAGAAATTGAACCCACAAAGGTGGAGGACTGATTGTAATGTTTTTGCCAATTGAGCCTCAAGGGAAGAGCATAGCTCAGCATGAGTGTAGGAAGACCTGGCAACCTGTTTAAACGGTGAATTGCTGCTCCTGGAAACTTTCAAAAGAGGTAAATCCTTCTTTCTAAGCCAGAAAGAGGACAATCCAAGGACTTTGGCAAGGACAGTGATTGCAAAATAGCCCTGGGGGAGTTCATGAGACCACATTTGGCCCTTCCTTGAAGTGAAGCTAGGAGAAAGCATAGGTCTAATCAGTTAAATATATCCTTTGTGGTTTATCTTCCGTATATGCTGAAAATTAACAGGCAACCCTCAGGAAAGATCTAATCTTGGACTAATAACAATATATAGAAGGTATCCAGGACATTAGAGGGTCATTCATAACTAGGACACTATGATTTATATCTCCAAACTATTCTTGAAGTTGCACTCTTCCGAAGTGTCTCAGTGACTCCTTGTAGAAAAGAAGTAAAATGGGAAAAAATGGAAACTTTCACTCTGTAGAAAAATGTCATAAATCAGTTCAGGGAATGTATTGTCGAAGGCTTTCATGGCCAGAATCACTGGGTTGTTGTAGGTTTTTCGGGCTATATTGCCATGTTCTAGAAGCATTCTCTCCTGATGTTTCACCTACATCTGTGGCAGGCATCCTCTGAGGATCCTTTGAAAATGAACAAAATCTGGTCAGTTGAAACATTCACACCTAGCTCCAGCAGACAAGAGTCCTTTGTCCCACCCTGGTCATTCCACAGATATATAAATCCATTTTCCTAGTTCCAACAGACCTCACTACTTCTGAGGATGCTTGCCATAGATGCAGGCGAAACGTCAGGAGAGAATGCCTCTAGACCATGGCCATATAGCCTGAAAAAACCTACAACAACCCAAACTAACCATAGTTTGTCATGATAACTAAGTTGTACTGGTTTCAAAATAAGCCAAAATTCTGCAAATCGGACTTTCTACGAACCAGTGCAGGCTCTGAGATTGAGAGGGAGACCCTTCTCTCAGCCCCACCACCATCTCAAGCATGGTTGGTGGGGACAAGAGAGAGGGCCTTCTCTGGGGTGGCCCCCAGCTCTGGAATATCCTCCCAAAAGGGATTAGATTAGCCCCCATTCTTCAAATCCTTCCATTCCAAACTGAAAACATGGATGTTCAGACAGGCTTTTGACCTTGAGTAGGCTGAATGCACCTATATGAACCTTGTTACGCAGCTATGTGTTTTTGCCCAGCGTCCCAGCTCCCAAAGCCCAAATGCAAAAGACTCACAGAACAGAGTAAAAACGAACTGAAAAATCTTTACTCTTTACTCAGCAGAGATGAAACATAAATTTGGCTATATTGCATACATCTGGTCAGTTGAAACATTCACACCTAGCTCCGGCAGACAAGAGTCCTCCCACCCTGGTCATTCCACAGATATATAAACCCTTTTTCCTAGTTCCAACAGACCTCCCAACCTCTGAGGATGCTTGCCATAGATGCAGGCGAAACATCAGGAGAGAATGCCTCTAGAACATGGCCATATAGCCCGAAATAATCCACAACAACCCAGACTTTATATGTGTTAGCTGATGTGTGACTGGAAGTTGCTGCCAACTGTGAGAGAAATAAGGTTGAATACTATGAAAGAAGAACTATGTTTCTACCCCGCCTCTATCTCCCCGAAGAGACAATTTAATATTATGGACTGAGGAATCTTATGCATAAGATTTTCATCTATGCTGATGATCATGCCATTACTGCTCAAGCAAGGAGCCTTGAGATGGTTGAACAGAAGCTCTAGGTACTCTTGCTGCCTATTATAGAGAAAACCAGCTGATTCCTAATCCATCTAAAACACAGACATGTGCTTTTCACCTTAAGAACAGACAAGCATCCCAAGCTCTGAAGATCCCACTGGAGCATTGCAGCGCACCCAAATACCTGGGAGTCACTCTGGACCGTGCTCTTACCTACAAGAAGCACTGCCTGAACATCAAGCAAAAAGTGGGTGCTAGAAACAATATCATATGAAAGCTGACTGGCACAACCTGGGGATCACAACCAGACACAGTGAAGACATCTGCCCTTGCACTTTGCTACTCTGCTGCTGAGTATGCATGCCCAGTGTGGAACACATCTCACCACGCTAAAACAGTGGATGTGGCTCTTAATGAGACATGCCATTATCAAAGGGTGTCTGTGCCCTACACGACTGGAGAAACTACACTGTCTAGCCGGTATTGCACCACCTGGCATCCGCCGGGAAGTAGCAGCCAACAGTGAAAGGACCAAGGCAGAGACATTTCCAGCTCATCCCCTATTTGGATATCAGCCAGCACGTCAACAACTTACATCTAGAAATAGTTTTCTAAGATCTACAGAGACACTCACTGGAACACCTCAGCAAGCGAGAGTCCAAAAGTGGCAGGCTCAAACCCAGAACCTCAATCAATGGGTGATACAGATGAACATGGCCCTATAGCCCGAAAAAACCCACAAGAACCTAGTGATTACAGCCATGAAAGCCTTCGACAATACATTGAGCCCTTAAAGTTTCCCATTGTAACCAATGGGCCAAATCTTTGCCGAATGAAAATGGCAAGACTCTACCCAATTCAAGTAACTTCCTGGTAAACAGAATGAGGGGTTAGCCGAAAATGGAACCCGAAATGAGATGCCTTTTGGGTGAATTGCACAAGCCTACTGACTGTATACTTTGCAAGCCAAAGGACTTGAGTTTAGCCGCTGGCATTGTAAGGTTGGTAAGGCTGAGTAAGACCCTCCATCTGTGAGCCTGAAAAGCCATGCCACTCAAAGTAGACAGTGGCGGCATTGGATGGCTCAATTAGCTCAATCAGTATAAGAAACACACACATACACTTCCCTCTGCTCTGAATAGAGCAACCGTAGTTCAGCCAACAAAGAAACTATAAAGTCACTCCAGTGTGAAAGCAGCCTCAGCCATTTCTGCTGCTTTTATGCTTAACTTCCAGTGATCAAGAGACGATAAAAGGCCCACAGGCTGTGTGCCTGGCTGGCCTTGGCGAACAGCCATCCAGGGAAACGGTGGCTTTGGGGGGCACAGACGGCTTTTATCTGCACCTTTTGCAAAGTACATTCCCTTGGAGATGAATGCCATTCAGTGTGGTTTCTTTATTGGAGTGCGGGGGTCTGCCTTCCAGAGGAAATGGCAGCTGTAAAACGGGGATTTCAAAAAAGATTGCAGCAGGGAAAGGTTTGTAACTCTTGGCCAGGGATACTGAAAGCAGCCTAAACATTGGTTTGGCTCTCTCCAGTGGCCACTTTGCAAGTCTCACACAGTGAAACATGAAACGACGTTTGTTGCCCGCAACTCTGCAGCTGTTAAACTCCCTTTCTATCAAATAGAAGCTCACTGACCAGTGGAACAAACTGTTTTTTGTCTTATCACAAAAACGAATGCCAGTTCACATCGCAGATCCCATCGAGCCAGTCTGTCTCCTTCTCTGCCCTTTTCCTTAGCCCAATTTTGGCTCCTAACATCGAGAAAGTGAGCTGTCCTAAATCAGTGCCACACATGTGAACGATTGGAGCATAGAAGGGTACAGGAAATGATGTGAAAGCCGCTTACCCATTGGTTTGGCCCTCTTCTGCCATTTAGTCTGCCAGAATGTACAACTACAGCAGTGTTTCTCAACCTTCCTAATACCACAACCCCTTGTGCCGTCACACCCAGAACCTATAACATTAAAACTAAGGTGTGCTTCTCTCTTTATCTGGGTGAACCGGTGGGGGTCTTTCTTTGAAGCAATAACTCAATACTTTCAGCAACTGATGCCAATCAAGGTATGAACATCAACAAAATGTTTATTTCCAAAGTGCTTGGCAGACTTGGCACAGCTTGATAAAGTTACAACAAAAACAATCAATTTGGGAAACCATAGAGATGTTCTTTCTTTCCCCTTTTCTTCAATTACTGAGGTAACCTTTCTCCAAATGGTAGAAAAAATCCTGAGATATTTCACGCTAACCCTCAGCTGCTATAGGTCTTAGATAGGTCTTCCCCTATCTAAGCACAAGGTCAGTTTTGGAGATGAAGTAATGCTCAATAGTACTCAATAACTATTTCTCTTTATTTCTCAATAACTCAATTACTCAGTTACTATCTCAATATCTTAATATATCTCTCTTTATAACAAAATAACCTCAATAACTATAGCATCTCAATTGCTATTCTATCTATCTCAATTGTACTCAATAGTACTCACAATGGGTTTTTCAGAGCTCCCTGCCTGACCAACAGCACATCTGAGGCTCTTTTCTCTACTAAAGGAGGCAGGGAAGATTCCAAAATGGAGATCTCAACCCCAGGAAAAAGGGCGGACTCCAAACCCAAAGAGATACTTTCTAAACCAATAACTGCAGAGGGCCTGCAGCCTGGCTTTCCAGACTCTGATACTGTTTAACTTCCAGGGTGCTGCTGAGTCTATAGCAACCCTGGGGAAATGCAAAGGAATGCTATCCCATGCAGCTAAAAGGCAATGTAAACCATGCTCCTGGAAGATGGAACACCCCTTAATACAGTTCCTCATGTTGTGGTAACCCTCAACCATAAAATTATTTTCGTTGCTACTTCGTAACTGTAATTTTGCCACTGTTGCGAATCATAATGTAAATATCTGATATGCAAGATGTAATTCCATTCATTGGACCAAATTTGGCACAAATAACCTATACGCCCAAATTTGAATACTGGTGGGGTTGGGAAGGAGATTGATTTTGTCATTTGGGAGTTGTAGTTGCTGGGATTCATACTTCACCTACAATCAAAGAGCATTCTGAACTTCACCAACAACAGAAGTGAACCAAACTTGGCACACAGGACTCCCATGACCAACAGAAAATACTGGAAGGGTTTGGTGTTGAATCATTGGTTGCCATTCATTAACGAAGTTGTCTAATATTTCTCCTCTTAATAATACAGTTATTTTGTCCATTATCAACATATCTATAATATATTTTTCCCATTCTTCTAAAGGAGGTATATCTGGGGTTTTCCAATATCTAGCATATACTATTCTAGCTGCCACTGTTGTGTAAAACAAAATTTTTCCAAATTTTCTTTCTAATTCTTTCTAATTTCTAATTTAATACAGTTTTAAACTGAATTACAAAGAACTTCCTGACTGCGAGAGCTGTTTAGCAGTGGAATTCTCTGCCCCAGAGTGTAGTGGAGGCTCCTTCTTTAGAGGCTTTTAAGCAGAGGCTGGATGGCCATCTGTCATGATTGCCTTGAATACTATTTTCCTGCTTCTTGGCAAAATGGGGTTGGACTGGATATCCCATGAGGTCTCTTCCAATCCTGTGATTTTATGATTCTATGATCACATGACAGTATTTAATTGGGCTCCAGAAAAGAGAAGGAGCAGGAGGATGGGAGGCACCAACCCAAAATCAAAGGGTTGCATTCTGGAGAAGAAGGAGCAACTTTGACAGAAGCAGAAGAGGAAAATCAGAGGGATTTGGAAGGGAAGGAGAAGCAGAAGGGTTTTGCTATGGTTTGTATGAAGAAAGCCCCACACCTCCTTCAGAATAGGGGGTGGGGGTACTTTCCTTTCCTTTTAAGAAGAGAAGAAAACGATTACCTGTCCAAACCTTAATTAATGCACTTAGCTAAGGAAGGTTGCTCTTACCACCAGAATCAAAGTGAAGGCAAGAGAGCCAGGCTAGGATTGAGAGGTGGCACCCCTAAATTTAGTAACAAAAGCTGGGCTAAATTTCTTTCCTACCTTCATCTCCATAAATACATGGGGGAGGGGATGCAAATCATCCAAAAGAAACAGAAATAAGCGGAACACCGTATGCTGTGTCGGCTGTACCACTCCGCACTTCCCAGGTAACTCTAAAAGCTGCCAAGCAATTACTTTCTTGTTGATGGGTAGCCGCGTACAAGTCAGCTTACTGACAAGTAATCTCCATTATGAAATGTATCAGTGTCATTCCTTGCTAAATCTTTATTTATTATTGCCTTGTTGAGTGCAGTTGTTACTGTCAAGTGTTCTGTCTTCTAATAATACTTGGAGTTCACCCACTAACCCTCTTTTTTTTCTCTCCCTCCTCCTTTTCTCTCTGGTCCTCCTCCTTTCCTCTTCTCTTCCCTCTGCGCTCCTGTTCTTCTGTCAGAAATAAAGATTTCAGACATAGGTAAGCCAACAAGTGGAGAATTGTCACTCTCTCTCTCTCTCTCTCTCTCTCCTTGTCTTTCCGGCATGCTCTCTCTTTTAACAAAATGCCTGGTCTCTTGAGCCATCCGTGATGATTAATTTTTTTTCCCTTTGATTATTTAAAAAGTACCTAAAATTGCTTAGCGCGCTGCAAAAATTACAAGCCTTCCTCACATACTTGCAACCTATCAAGATAGAGGTGGTTTTAATTAAGGGCTTGTCCTTGCGGGATGCTTTGTGCACTTCGGTGGCATTTTGTGCATTTATTTGAGTTGTCACTGGGGAGCTGGCTGTCTTCCCTTAATGAAGCATTTCGTCGGAAGGAAAATTTCAATTTGCCAGAGCACAGAATTTTGTGTTTAGTGCAGGCGTTCATGCGATTCTTTGTGAGACATGTGTGCTCATTTTGTCCTATTTAGAAAGACCTAAAATACATTAGCTGGAATGCAATATGGGGCTTACAGCTACATAAGTAAACGGACATCCATAGGGATACCAAGGTGCTTGTCTATAAAGCTATTGTCCTCCCAACCCTGCTATATGCCTGTGAGACGTGGACTGTCTACAGACGTCACATGCAACTCCTGGAACGTTTCCATCAGCGCTGCCTCCGGAAAATCCTGCAAATCTCCTGGGAAGACAAGCGGACAAACGTCAGTGTGCTGGAAGAAGCAAAGACCACCAGCATTGAAGCGATGGTCCTCCAACATCAACCCCGCTGGGCCGGCCACGTTGTCCGGATGCCTGACCACCGTCTCCCAAAGCAGTTGCTCTACTCTGAACTTAAGAACGGAAAACGGAATGTTGGTGGACAGGAAAAGAGATTTAAAGATGGTCTCAAAGCCAACCTTAAAAACTCTGGCATAGACACTGAGAACTGGGAAGCCCTGGCCCTTGAGCGCTCCAGCTGGAGGATCAGCTGTGACCAGCAGTGCTGCAGAATTCGAGGAGGCACGAGTGGAGGGTGAAAGAGAGAAACATGCCAGGAGGAAGGCGCGTCAAACCAACCCCGACCGGGACCGCCTTCCACCTGGAAACCAATGCCCACACTGCAGAAGAAGATGCAGAGCAAGAATAGGGCTCCACAGCCACATGCAGACCCACAAGGAAACCCATAATGGAAGACCATCTTACTCGTCCAACGAGGGTTCGCCTAAGTAAGTAAATAAGTAAGTAAACTTACACCTGGGGATAATAGAAGTGTGCAGTATCCCAATCTTTGTATTCAGTGAGGGATTGTCAAGATGTTGCTCAGTGTAGGAGCCAGGAAAGTGACCAATGAACTTTGCACATTTCAATCCATGTGCATTGGGGCTGATGTGAAATTGGTGATGAAACACATCAGTCATTCCCAATATCCATCCAGACATTGATATCGATAGAGCCTAAGCCTCTGCAGAGGAACAGTGGACATGATCTTCACTGCACGACAGCTCCAAGAAAAATGCAGGGAACAAACCCAACCTCTGTACATGGCATTCATTGACCTCACAAAGTGAACCAAAGAACTCTCTGGACCATCCTGCAAAAAAATTGGATGCCCTGACACATTTGTGAACATTTTGCAACGCCTCCATGATGATGTGATGGCAACAGTCTTGGACAGCAATGGCTCCCAAAGTAACATATTTAAGGTGGAATCGGGTGCCAAACAGGGATGTGTTACTGTCTCAAATCTTATTTTCCATCTTCATCGCTATGATACTTAATCGCTATGATACTTAATGTGAAGCTTCCCACCGGTGTGGAAATCATCTACTGGACAGATATTTAACCTCAGCAATCTCAAAGCCAAAAACAAGGTCACAACAATGTTTGTTATAGAACTCCAATATGCTGATGATAATGTGGTCTGTGCTCATTCAGAAGAAAACCTACAAGCCACTCTAAACACCTTTGCAGAAGCATACAAAAAGCTTGGCCTCTCATTGAACATCGAGAAGACCAAAGTGCTCTTTTTGCAAACAGAACTCACCAATCTTTCTGCAATGCCAGAAATGCAGCTTAACATAACGTTACAAAATGTTGACTATTTCCGCTACCTTGACAAACATCTCTACACAAAAATCAACATCGACACTGAAATACAACACCATCTGATCTCTGCGAGTGCAGTATTCTTCCAAATGAAGCAGAGAGTGTTTAAAAATCGGGACATTCATAGGAAGACCAAGATGTTTGTTTATAAAGCTATTGTTCTCCCAACCTTGTTATATGTCCTCCAAAACATAACCATCTACAGATGTCACACTCAACTTCTGGAATTATTCCATCGGTGTTGTCTCCAAAAAAAATCCTGCAAATCTCTTGGGAAGACAGGCAGACAAACGTCAACGTACTGGAAGAAGAAGCAAAGACGACCAGCATTGAAGTGATGATACTCTGCCATCAAATCCGCTGGACTGGCCACGATCACTGTCTCCCAAAGCAGTTATTCTACTCCCAACTAAAGAACGGAAAATTGAAGGTTGGTGGTGTCCCGAATTGCCCTTCAAAAATAGCCTTTAGACAATATTGACAGTAAAAGAAAAATGCTTTACTTCAGCAAACACAAAGGATAAACAAATGCAATTGAAAAGAGCAAAAGAAAGCTAGGAAGTCTTGATCCAGACACAAATTCAAGTCTCTTACAAGGTCCTCAAAAGAAACACCAATCTTCCATCAGACAACAGACGATGAACTAAGTTCTTAGCAGCAGACACAAAGCAGATTCCATAGTAGTGAAAACAGCAGTATCGAGGTCGTTGTTACCATTGAAAGTTGATTACTCCGTCCTCTGATTTATAGCCCTGAATTCCCCACGCAGGAGGTGGTAGGGCGTCTCCCAGTTAGCTCAGCGTTTTTAGCAGCTATTCTGTCTGAACGGCGTCTGTGCTCTGTCTCTTTTCATCTCTCTAGAAATGTGGGCACTTTCAAACCCTCAACGTCTGATTCTTCTTCTCCCTCCAAATCCTGAGCACTTCCCCGCTCCCCTTCCTCTTCCGAAGATGAGGAATCCCCAACAGGTGGAGAGGAAAAGAAATTTAAAGATGGTCTTGAAGCCAACCTTTAAAACTGTGGCATAGACACTGAGAACTGGGAAGCCCTGGCCCTTGAATGCACTAACCTTGAATGCATTACGCCCCCCCCCCAATCCCGCCTGCTTCTCAGGCACGGCTGGCGGGGACGAGAGATAGGGCCTTCTTGATGGTGGCTCCTCGGCTGTGGAACACCCTTCCCACAGACATTAGACAAGCACCATCGCTAATGGTATTCCGCAAAAAAGTGAAGACCTGGCTGTTTGTGCAGGCGTTCGAATAATTAGTGTAATGATTGGTAAATGAACATAGGAATGGAACAATGGATGACGAATCTGGATTATGTTTTTGATTATGATACGACAGTGATCGGTTATTGTAGTAATTGTTTATTAATTATGTAATGTGTTAAGTTGTTAACTGTTTTTACACTGTTGCACTGAATTTTTTGCTGTCCTTATTGGTTGTGAACCGCTGTGAGTCGCCTTCGGGCTGAGAACAGCGGTATATAAGTAAAGTAAATAATAAATAACTGGAGGTCGGCTGCTACCAGCAGTGCTGTCGAATTTGAAGGGCACGAATGGAGGGAGAAGGAGAGAAACCCGTCGAGAGAATGGCATGTCTAGCCATCCCTGACCGGGACAGCCTTCCACCTGGAAACTGATACCCTCACTGTGGAAGAACATGTAGGTCAAGAATAGGCCTCCACAGTGACCTATGGACCCACCACCAAGACCCTATGTTTGGAAGGCCATCCTACTCAGACATGAGTGATCTCCAGTGATGATGACCCTGACATTAAAGTTGCAGGAGCCCTCTCCAGTTTTCACTCTGGCAACTCTCTTACCTAGTTTGAAGCGAGTCCTAAAAGTGCTTTGAACATCCTGCAGCAAACAAGGTGCTGGGGAATGTCAGCCCGTGGTTATTAATGCCTCCCCGGCCCATCTCGGGTGATTATGAGCAGCTCAGCAGCTGAGTGACATTCAGCCTCGCCTCACCGAAGACAGCAGCAAACCCTGGGGCCTGATAAAAATGGATGGTGGATTCCCACAGGGCACCTTCCCCGGCGCCCCGCCACCACCAAAGTGGATGCCACTTGCTCAAGTTGAGTGACGGGCAAGTAAATGAAATAATACCCTGCCAGTTTGCTGTCATTGGGAAGGAATACAGATGGGGCCCAAACTGCCAGGCTGGAGCCGCTGAAGGTCAAAGTATTTTATTTAGCAAGAATCAGTGTCATTTTGTGCAGATGGAATCTGTGCTGGCTTTAATAGGGTAAATCACAGGGGATGTTCTGGGATAAATCAGAAATGCTTTCTTTCCCCCTGCCCCTGCTTTCCGGTCCAGCCCCCCGCCCCCACCCCCCATTAAGGAAGTGTTAATTGAAATGAAGAATTTAGTATGCAGGGTATTTTGTGTAATGTTTTCAGAATGGAGAAATGCGGGGTAATTAAAAGAAGAGTGAATGAAAAATGAGACTAGGTACAATGACTTTTTCTGGCAATATGCATGACAGGAACTACAATTAGGGAGAGGAATGAGCAGAGTGGGACACGAGGTGGAAAAGTGATTCTCAAACTCAGTTGCAAGAGGGAAGTTGAATGGGATTTTGAAAACGGAGGTCCCATCTACACTGCCATATAATCCATTCTGAATTCAGATTGTGTGCTTTGAACTGGATTATACGGTAGTGAAGACTCTGATAATCTGGATTCAGTGTCGTCTTCTTCTTAGGCAATCCCTCATAGCCCGAGGATGATGGTCCTCCAAGTGTAGTGTCTTGGTGGTGGATCCGTAGGTGGCTGTGGAGTCCTATTCTTGATCCGCATTTTCTCCTGCAATGAGAACATCAGTTTCCCGGTGGAAGGCAGTCCCAGTCAGGGTTGGCTAGATGCACCTTCGTCTTGACACGTTTCTCCATTTCACCCTCCATTCGTGCCTCTTCGAATTCCGCAGCACTGCAGGTCACAGCTGACCTCCAGTTAGAGCTCTCAAGGGCCAGGGCTTCCCAGTTGTCAGTGTCTACACCACAGTTTTTAAGGTTGGCTTTAAGCCCATCTTTCAATCTTTTTTCCCGTCCACCAATATTACGTAATGTTGGCGAACATATGGAGGTGTAGATCCAACTTGAAACCATTTCTGGAGCCACAGAGCCCAAGCTTCTGCTTCCTTGGAGACTAGGATGCGGAACAATGGCTTCAAACTACAAGAGAGGAGATTCCATCTGAACATTAGGAAGAACTTCCTGACTGTGAGAGCCGTTCAGCAGTGGAACTCTCTGCCCCGGAGTGTGGTGGAGGCTTCTCCTTTGGAAGCTTTTAAGCAGAGGTTGGATGGCCATTTGTCAGGGGTGATTTGAATGCAATATTCCTGCTTCTTGGCAGAATGGGGTTGGACTGGATGGCCCATGAGGTCTCTTCCAACTCTTTGATTCTATGATTCTCATTGCAATGTTTCTTCCTCCTTCTGTTTAATTGTTGTTGTAGCCTGAAAAGGGCAAGTAGGAGAACCAAAATAGGGAAAACTGGGGTTTTTTCACATTAATTTCTTCATTCACTCCATTTATATCCTGTCTTTCCTCCAATGAATTCAAAGCAACATGCATAATTTCTGATTCTAGCTGCTCCTCGGCTCTACCTCTTTGCCTGTGTTGGTTTATGGTGGCCATGGCGATGGGTCAGCTGGATGGCCATTTAGCCCCAGAAATTAACTTAAAGTTGGATGTAGCGGTTACTGGGAACAGACTCTACACAGAGACCAAGACTAATCTCCGACACACTATGGCAACAACCCATTGTCTCACTGTCTGCACACAATGGATGGCACCCCACTGTCCCAAAATATCTTGGTTTATCTTTAGAGTCCTTCTCAAAATGAGAATCAGAAGTGATGTCATGTCACTACATATTTGAGCAACATTTCATGCATTTAGAGGAATGTTTGGTGTGATTTATGGGACAAGATCACCCAAAAATGATGCTGAATATTTGGAAAGATATTCATGCACCCCACACCCATGTGCCAAAAATACCCCTGTTTTTCTTCAGAATCCTTCTCAAAATGAGTGATGTCCTATTCCTTTTTGTAACAGAATCCAATGAAAACATGGACATTTGTGGGTAGTGGATGGTTCTGGGAGTCATGAGATAGATTAATTGTGCATTGAGGTATATTCTATATTCTGTATGGTTTGGTGGCAAAGATCACCTAAAATGTAAAACTTAGGTCTTGTTCCTCAGACCTTCCACCATCTCAGCCTCATTTCCTTTAGACTGATGATTGTTCAGTAAGTTCACAAGACAATTCCCAGTTGTAGGTATACCGACTTTGGAATTATTTTGTCTTCTTCATCATTGTAGCCACAGCCCCGCTCACAGGTACTACCTGACTACAGACCCCATTGCCGGCTCCATCTACCTCTCCGATACCAGCAGCCGCCGCGTCTTCAGAATCAAGTCAACCACCGTGGTGAAGGACGTGGTGAAGAACTCGGAGGTGGTGGCTGGGACCGGGGACCAGTGCCTTCCATTTGATGATTCTCACTGTGGAGATGGAGGAAAAGCCACCGAAGCAACACTCACAAGTCCCAGGGGTAAGTCCTGCCTATGATCTTTAAAACCCAACACGTTTTAGTTATTTATTTTATTTATTTCCTATATTTATACCCCGTCCTTCTCTCCCTGAAGGGTCCAAACTGTTTGAAAAATCTAATTTTCCCATATGAACCTAGCCTAGGTCTAAGATTCGGTTGCGCCCATACCTTGGGAAGTCTGATCTGGCCACAGTGGTCCACACTCTTGTTACATCCCGAATAGACTACTGCAACACACTCTACATGGGGTTGCCCTTGAAGACTGTTCAGAAACTTCAATTGGTCCAGCGAGCGGCAGCCAGACTACTCACCGGAGCATCATACAGGGAGCACACCACCCCACTGCTGTGTCAGCTCCACTGGCTGCCGTCTCAGTTACGAGCACAACAGCCACTTGGTGCTGTTTTGGACCTACAAATACCCTGTATCGGTTCGGTACAGTGTATTCTGTACAAACCATATTATTATGGTTTATTATTATTATATGGTTTATTATTATAATATGTATTATAATATTTATTTATTTATTTATTTTATGCATTTATTAACCGCCCTTCTCAGCCCTTGCGGGCGACTCACGGCGGTGTACACTACAAAAAGGCAAATTTACAAAAGACAAATTACAAGCAACATCAGCAAAAACCGCAATACACAATTAAAATTTTACACTAACTAATCCGCTTCGTCTCATAATTAAAATCGTATCCAAACTCGTATTCCTCGTTCCATTCCAGTCATCTTTACCACATTGTTAAGCGCTTAATTAAATGCTCTCTCGAACAGCCAAGTTTTGAGATTTTTCCT